GGTTCAAGTGATTCCTGTGCCTCAGCCTCCCAAATAGCTGGGATTACAGGCACCCACCACCACGCCCTGCTAATTTTGTATTTTTTAGTAAAGGCAAAGTTTCACCATGTTGGCCAGGCTGGTCTTGAACTCCTGGCCCCAAGTGATCCACCCTCCTCAGCCTCTCAAATTATCGGGATTACAGGCGTGAGCCATCACACCTTCCCATTTTTAGTATATTTTCAATAAATACATTTAAACAATGTTAAGGCCACAGCACACGTATCTCAGCCATTCATTGTTCTGTGCATTGATGTTTGTCTCATAGATGCATTGAGTAGTGCCTTTTTAGCTTTTTCACATTGCTTTGTCACCGTATCCTTTGTGTTCCCTAAATACATTGCCCACTTCCAAAAATGCTCAGCATGAGAAAAGGGCTTCAGTATCGACTGAGACTACTTTTGTTCATCTCAGGGAACTTTCAATAGTCAAGAATGAATTAAGTTAAAGGTACTTAGGGTTCAAAGAAGGCAAACAGTACAAGCCCATTTTATTCCTTGTTGTATACCTTTCCATCTGCCCTCTGGCTTTCACTGTCTACTGTGGCCTTCTTCCAGGAACAGGGAAAGATCAATGAAGGCTAAAGAATAAGAAAAAGAGTTGAGATTTAACCAATAGGGGAGCATAAAGAATTATAACAAAATCATATTATAAAAGCATACTTGAAATATCTGGAGTTTTTTTTTTTTTAATTTTGAAAATATCATATACTCGGTTTTAATATTTTAATTTATTTTTTACTACTTAACCCTGTACCTGGCAATGCTCAGGCAGCTGATTGTGAAATATTCCTGTCCTTTATAGAACATGGTTGTTATTGTGCTGTTGACATGAATAGGCCATGGAAACATTCACATCATTATTAATCAGCCTGTGCTTTAATTAATGTTAAGTTGCGAAAAAAATAAAAAAAGTTAGCAAGTAATAGATTTTCTGGGCAAATCTAATGATTCAGCCCACAGGACTGATGAAACTACTGTGGAAGTTTTTCTATCTGAAAGAAGGTGCTGGGCATTCAAATGTCTTCATGTATTGTATATCATATGAATTGTATATCAATTGCTAATGGGAATTTCTATATTTATGCTTACAAAAGCAATTTATTTAAGTAATGCTAGAGGTAGTGTACATACCAATTAGTTATTCAGCTACTATACAGGAAAAGGATGAATAAATTAATTTATTTCTAATTGAGCCAGTTAGACATAATGCATATAATGTGATATTTGGTTCATAAAAGAGTTGTTTTCATGTGGTTATTGTAGGGAGTATATATAATTGTGGAAGGGGTATGGGAAGAGTTGTGTATAGCTAGTTGTCATCTCTACAAGTTTGAAAGTTTTCCCATCAAACATTATCAATATCCCAATGTTTTAAAAATTGAGTGACGGTTATTATTTGTATTTGATGAAAGAAAATTCAAATAAGACCCACCTAGAAATAGATATTTTATTATATATGTGCTATAGGTATATCTATATAGTGCAAATAGACATGTGTGATGCATATATACAATGTTATATATGTGTATATGTGTGTATACACACTAAGTCTGTAATATGTACACACTAGATTTGTGTTATGCTAACATCTTCAGGGTCTGCACTGTGAACTACCTTGGAGATAAGTAAGACCACTTTAGAATAAAGAAGTTCTTTTGAGACTTCAGTTACTAACCTGCTTTAAGAGGTATCTAGTTTATAACTGAATCCTATGTCGTTCATACGTAGAGTTACAGTGAGGGTCTAGTATGTCCAAATCTTAAAAGTAATAATAAAGAAGAAAAGTAAAGCCTTCAAGCTAGCAACGTATTCGAATTACAGTTTTCAGATTGTGGCTCCAGGCCTTGTGTTTCTCATTTAAGTAGCACCTTTTAATAAATATCGTTTATTTGTACTTGGCAAAAGCACAAGTGTTTCAAATGTAAATAGCAGGAAAAAAAAAAGAGTTTACAGAGATAGCATTGCTGCACAGAATAATTGCTACTGAGTATTTCTTATACAGTTTGTGGAATTGAAAGATGAGGTTTATTCTGTCAAGTTCATTCTGTTCAACACTGTTTTCTTATTGTTTGTGTATAGCAACCAGGTATTATTGTTTTATCATTTGTAAAATTGTAAAATAAATTAAATCCTTTTTTTCACTGTTTCTTTTATCTCTTATATCCAAACCCTTAATTATACTTTGTATGTCAACATCAGGTGATCACTTTTAAGAAGGTTTTGTCAGTGCTTTTGTTTTCCACTCCCCTTAGCCCTAGTGGTTGGCAATTAGGCAAACCATTTATTTTTAAGTGTATGCATGGGATTATGAACAATTTGAAAAACTCCATGACTATTAGGGAATCCTTAATGATTTTTGTGTAGTACATTTGTTTGTGGTTGAGAGGATAAAGTATTTCACAAGTGACAGTCATTTATATCTAATTTATGCTCCGACTGACTAATGTTAGTGGGTCATTTTAGCTACAATGGCTTCATACACACCACACATTCTATGGCAGATGCTTGATTTAGTGTTTCAACTGCTGTTCAATCCACTTAATACTGTTTGCAATTTGCCTTCCCGGAGACGATTCCAAAAAACTCCATGCTTAAATCTTCTTCCATGGCTTTCTATTACTTGCAAGTCTGTTTTCAGACTCTGTATTGATTTGTGCAGAAATATTTAACTGTAATTTTTAGAAGCCACTGTAGCATTCTGCAATTTTGAAACATTTACTGGAGACCAACAATGAAGCATTGACAATAATTAATAAATATAGATGCTATTTATGTTTACATGATTATTTTTTCAAAGATTCAAATACAATAGGTTATTCCTAGCTATTTTGGGGGGTTATAATCAGATCTCATCATGTAGAACTCAATTTTGGATGTTATGGAAGAGTTTTCAGATTGTAATGAGTTTTGATACCTGAAGCAATTTTCTAAAAGGCAATATTTAAAAATAATTTGTTCCTACTGTCAAATATTATTTAAATGCTTATTGGTTTAGGTATGGTTTTCCCTCTCTTTACTCTTATTATTTTATGTTACAACCCAATCCTTTTCAAAATATATTCTGAGAAACATTGCTATTTAACATGCTCTGCAAAGGAATGATAAATTCTCGCATACTTCTGCAATGTTCCCTGAAATTAATAAGGAATGGTATTATATTATGAACTAGGCAGTCTCCAAATAAAGGAAATGATTTAAATTTTCCTAACCAAGAATTTCAAAATGTAGCGAATTTTTGCACCTTTAATACTTATTTTAAGAAATGCCAAATACACTATTTTTTACAAACCTTTTCTAGAATTAAAATTTTGGCATACATTTTTATTTGCCTTATACTTAAATATCTATAATGTTCTACACAATTTATGATTTAAATATAAATCGCCTTATTCACACCTTTTCCTTATATTACATGCTACAATTTAAAATACAAGTGTCCAGATGAACATTTTGATTAGGTAGGGCCTTTTCAGATAGTTTATTAAAATGTACATTTCTCTAAGTTTTTGAACAAGCTTTATTAGCTGTGGATTACTGTATCAAACCAATCCAATTCACCAGGGCCTATAATGTTAGTATAAAATGGATTGAATATGTACTCATAGTAACCCAAAAATGTACCAGGCCATTTTGAATCTCCCCCATCATATGTTATCCAGGCTTAAATTGTTCTTACTCTGAGCCAAACATAGTTTTTAATATCTTATGTGTATTAACTGATTTAAAACTAATATCTATGAGATAGATTCTGAAAATATTATAATTTCATAGATAAGATTAAGGGAGAGGTCATGTGATGTGCTCAAAATCACGCAGCTCAAAAATGAGAGAACAAGGACTTGAACTCACTGGCTTCAGTGTCCATGTCCCTAACCATCACATTTTGATGCTGCCTTTTTGCAAAACAGATGAATATTTAATGAGTACAGATCAAAAATATAGGTACATATATAAAAATAATATGTAATTTAAACTTTGGGAAGGTCTAATTATTGATTCCTGCCACCACATAGGACAATCATTTCTAATAATAAGAATATCTTGACTCCCAGGTCAGTGTCTTTCCCCTGATTGGTGCTGGATAAAAACTGCAAATTCTTGCTCCTGACTCTTCTTGATATATTTTTTCCGTGCAAGCTGGGTTACCTTTAGGTTCGAATCTGACTTTATGTATCACAGAATTTATTACATTACAGCTATTTTAAAGTCTAAATATGAACTTCCTACATAAACGTTTTGATTGAATGTGTTTTATTCATCTCCATGAGCAACTGTTTATAGAAATCTCTTAAAGTTGAACTTCTGCAGATGGCTAAACTCACCCATTTGATATCGTTTTCATTCTGTTTACTAATTTT